TGTGTGTGTGTGTGTGTGTGTGTGTGTGTGTGTGTGTGTTGTCAGCCGGCTAACGAGGTTGGCACTGATGTGTTTTAAATGAAATCTGCTAATTGTCTGGTGGTATTACATGAAAACACACACACGGCTGAGAGATTATCTCAGCTGTGTGTGTGTGTGTGTGGACAGCGGACAATGAGCGTCTTAACTAAACAAAAGACAGAACCTCCATTTCGTGCTCACAATAGGAGACGTGTTAGCCGCAGCTCAGCAGCCAGATCAGCTTAGCGCTGCCGACGGCGGGACGACTCGTAATCCTGCCGGCGGGTCTCCCTGCTCATTCGGCACCGGCGCACAGTTCAGGGCCGAGGGTGGGGTGGTGCGTGTGTGTGTGCATGCGCGTGTGGTGGTGCTCGTGTTTGGGTGGGGGGTTCTTGGTCTAATTAATTAGCAGTGAATAAAGACGCAGAATAAGAGCCTTAGTGGAGCGAGCCTCACATCCACGTGTTCCTGTTTTAGGACGACGCTGGTTTATCAGCCAGATCCAGGACTGTCCCTCATTAATGCTCACACCCATCCACTCACATCCGCCCACAGTGTTCATACTCCAACTGAACACAGCAGGCTTAGACCCGCTCCTGTCTGCAGGAAACGAGGGGTGGAGGCTGCAGGTGGAGGGAATTCTGCTCCTGGTCCTGTTTGAGTTTCACTCAATAAAAAACAGGATTATTAAACGATGCCTGAACTTTAGTTAGAAACTAATAACCACAGGTGTAGTTTCCAGCTGTGAGAGATCTCAGTTTGGGGTAAAGTGTGATGAGGTGGGAGTGAAAGAATGGACGGATTCGCCTGCATGAACCGTCCGCTAACACATGAGGAGCTGGCAGCTCAACATCTACACCTGTACCTATTGTGTACAAAATGTCCAGCCCAGAGTTGTGTTAGTGCCTCAGGTGGGCTTCAACATCATGGCAGAAAATAAGCCAGTGCTTCGAGTGGACATCTCGGTGGACGCTGTGCTTACTGCATGGCGTGCATGTGTGGAAGCAGTAGAGTTGAAATCCACCATCAGGCGCTCAGTCAGTGTGGCGAGCAGTGTAGTTGATAAATGAAGAATGAAGGTGTTGCTGTGTCCTGGCTCAGGCGAGTCCATGCTGGTGGTGGATGAAGGCTCTTCTATCTGTCTGTGCGGGGGGGTCCTCGGAGCGTCAGACCCAGACAGTCCCCCTGAGCAGCTCGTCTTTCACCTGGAGACTCCTCCCCTTCACGGCTTCCTGGAGAACACGCAGCCGATGCCCGGCTCCGAGAAGAGCAACGCGGGAGTGCGAGTCGGTCAGTGTGCGGTGCACGGGCAGAACCTCGGGGAGCCGACTCAGATCTCAATCTAATGTTTGTCTTTTCCCAGAATCCTTCACTCTCACACACCTGACCTCTGGCTTTATCAACTACGTGCAATCGGAGCACAAAGGGGTGGAGCCAACTGTCGACCAGCTGTCCATCAGTGTGAGCGACGGGCTGCATCGCTCCGCCCCTGTCCCCTTCTACATCATCATCAAACCAACCAATGACGAAACACCGTCGCTGCTGCTCGCCAACTTCACCGTACGTACACCTGAGGCCTGACCTGAGGCATGGTCAATAATTGGTCATCAATCAGCTATGACTTGAAGACAGCTGACTGGTTATTAAAAACATTGTCACCTCCCCCCGATTGAGGTGACAAAGCTGTAATTGTGACACCAAACAAGAGAAAATAACAATAAAGACTAAACAAAATTCACACAAGAGAGTAAAAGTAAAACGATTTCTCTGACTGAAACTGAATCTGCGATGATCACAACAGCCTCACGGGGGCGCACTCCTCCTGTTCTCTGCAGGTAAAAGAGGGCGGGATGAGGGAGCTAATTCCATCCATACTGGATGGTTTTGACTTGGACGCCCCACCTGACCTGCTCACCTTCACCGTGGTGCAGCCGCCGGCTCACGGCAGCCTGATTAACAGCATCCACGGCACGGAGGCGGGAGCTGACCTCCTGCACAGGAGCCTCTCTGTCACCTCTTTCACTCTGCAAGAGCTCCGACAAGGTGAGGCAGTCACTCAAACAGGAAGTGTGAAAGTACAAGGTGAATACATTCTAGATTATTGGTGTGTTTTATACAGATGATCATCATTCAAACACTTTGAACCAGGATGACTTTGAACAAGAGCAATAATCGCTTTTTATTTCATATTCGGAGAGGGTCAGCAGCAGGGCCGTGTTCCCAACCATCTAAAAAATAAAATGTTTTTGGTCCATCCATTTGCTTCTGCTTATCTAAATCAGGGTCGCGAAGGGGCTGGAGTCCATCCCAGCTGTCTTAGAGCGAGAGACAGGGTATGCAATGGACAGGTCACTAACACTTAGAGACAGACAACCATTCACACCTATGGGCACTTTAGAGTTTACCTATCCCCACTAACTGCATGTGTTTGGACTGTGGGATGAAGTCGGAGTACCCGGAGAGAACCCACGCATACACGGGGAGTGCATGCAGGAATACCTTGGCCCCAAATCACAGACAAACAGTATCCCACATTCTTGATTTTTTTTTTAGTTCACAAACACTTATTATAATGACTAACTACCCCTGAAATTTTGGAGATGTTAGCTCTTTATACAGTAAAGTTACAGTGGGATACAAATAATATCAGGCTGATCCTGCCACAATGTGTTCCCCCTGTCCAAATCACAGACAAACAGTATCCCACAGTTGTTTATTTTTTTAGACCCATTTTATTGAGTAATTTTTTGTATTGACAGCAGTGTTGAATATTCTTACACAGTACAAACAAAACAAAAAAAACAACCACGAGTGAAATAATCACACCATGAAGACGGTTTGTTTTTATGTTATTTAAGGCTATGTCCACAGGTACACGGGTATTTTTGAAAACTGAGATTTTCCATTTTCGTTAAAAAAAAAAAAATCCCACCCCATGTGCAGTTTTGAACAAAATATCTCCGTCCCCATGTAAACAAAAAAAATGAAGTCAATCGCTGTCAAGAACGTGCCAAATCCTAACTGTGAAGAAATGTTGGCCAATCAGAAGTCTAGACACCTGGGAGTAAAGTACTGAAAAGTTTTTGTGTTTTTCTGGAAAGGCAGCTAATTTTATGTTATTTTTCAAATGCCTTCATCATTTCAAATGTTAATAACTAAAGACAGTATTTTGGATTTTGTCTCACTGGCTCCCTTGACCAGAGTTTATTCAGTAAATAAACTGAAAATCAGCCTGAGTGATTCATAATCATAAGTCACAGCGCTGTTAAATATGCCTGATGTAGACTCACAACTTAGGAATGGACAAATGCATACAGCATACATAATTAAAAAAATTAAATGTATTCAAAACTGACGACAACGTTGGCGTAGGGATTTGGATTGTGAAAGCGTCTGTGGTGAACGTAGAAGCCACGTCCGAAGTTCACTCTGACGCCTTTGTCTTTCTAAATGGACGGACAGTAACCGCGTGTGTTTATGTAAAAACTGCAGATAGTCAGATTAACAGCAACAGTATTTTGTCTCTGTCCGCCATTGTAGAAATTCATCTCACGTAAACATCACGTGACGCACAGCGTGATGCCAAAAAAGGCACACACCTTTGACGTTGCGTGACTAAATCTCCGTTTTCGTCGTCCA